TTCTTCTCCCTTACAAATTCTTTGGTTATAGTGTATCATAATAATAAGTACCTACATAGAATATATGGCACTGTATACAGATCACAAATTGTTTTGCGGAAGCATTTGTTGTTATAATTGTGTATTAGACCACACATGGGGATTCACAAATGGCATGATGTCAAATGCATGTGTCCTTCCTTATACAGTGACACCATGGGGATTAATTTTTTTTATTTTGAATTAGGGATCACCATATCAGCAGAGCACCTACTGTTATAGCATGGGCTACCACTGAACAGAATTCGTAGAATAATTATATCCAATGTACTTTCACCAACCAGTGTTACATCATAGATATGCTACAGCAATGATTTCTTCATATCTTCAAGACCTCCACAACAATAATTTATTTGAATAGTATTCAAAAGTTGTCAGTTGAATATACTATAAATTTATGTTTCTTTTATTAGATCAACTGATATTATTAAATAAATAAATATAAATAATTTTTTATACGCTTTCAAAACGTGCTATTTGAGGTCACAAGACCAAATTAAAATTTTAAGTTGCATACTAGCTAGTTGATGACAAAAAATATGGTACTATTCTGTCAAAGCAGCATCAGTTCAAAATGTCTCCCTTTTTTTTTTTTTTTTTTTCCAGCCAACTGTTCCTAAATAAAAAAACTGTGAAATAATAATAGAGTTTAAACAGGCAAAAAATTAGTTTTATTACTTAAAAATAAAAAAAGTAAATTTTTCTTTTCAATTTTTTTAATTTAGAATATCCTATATACAAATGTAAAAAAATGAAATTCAATCTAAACTGGTGGCATAAAATTACAGATATCATTCAATATTGCAGAAAAATTTCAGTTTTTAATTATAACTGACCCCTTATAAATTCTATGAAATACAACTCTAAAAGGTAGCAAGCAGTGCCCTGCAGGTGTTTATTTCGCTCCATGGTTAGGGTATGGTATACAGCTTTGAGGTGTACAAAATCAAAATTATAACTGCGATTCACAGTTAAATGCTGATAACCTTCTTTTTCTACTTTCTTAAGTAGCATAACAGCCTATTACAGGCCAATGCCATCTCAACAAGCCTCCTCCAGCAGATCCGATCAGACATTACAGTCCACCAACAATTGTAAAGTCTTGAGATCTGCCCCACACAATCTATCCATCTTATGCGAGGTCTTAAATCTTTTTCTGGTACCATCTACACTTGCAAAGGTCACCTTTTCAACAGGGTTCAAGGTGTCACATCTAAAAATATGTCCAAGCCACGATATAAGATTTGATGACTCAGATAACATAAAATTGTTTGTATCTTCTACAAGTTTCATAGTTAAACAAAATTCCCCATCTGTTATTTTCTCTAACTGTGCCATATATTTTTTGGAATACTTTTATTTCAAAGATTAGAAGTAATGTTGATAACCCATATTTCTTAAATCCCCTTTCTTATATCTTTTCCAGCAGAGCAAAAATATAATGCCGTCATCTGCAGTGTTTACTGAATGACAGTCATCAATGTTCTAGCACAGCAATCAGAAACAGGAACCAGAAAATATTCTTTTTTTTCATGGCATAAGCATTCGAATATTTACTACTTCAAAACAACATGTCAAGCATTGTTTTTTTCTTTCTGCAAAAAAGACTCTTCTTTTATGAGACATCAAAGTATTTGCATATAACTCCCTCAAGTAGTTTTTCCAATCTGCAGTTGTATTACAGTTGATTTCTAAATGAAGTTCACAAAATTCAATTGATGTCAGTTCCTGACACCACAGACAGATACAATGATTGGCATTGAGGAAAGAAAGATTTGAGCCTTCAAACCATGTTTTGGTTCTCGACCTCTTCCCCCCCCCCAATAAGAATGTATGTTAATGGCATATAGGAGCTTTGTTGGAGTTAAATGTTATCTTCAATGGATGATTCTGAGAACAAAGTCTCTTACTATGAATTATTCATTTGTCCTGAAATAATCTTGTGGCAGCATCTTTGTCATTAGTTACTTACCAAATTGTGCAATCTATCTTATTTAAAAAAATGTCAAAAGCTAAAAAATATTCAAAACAATGAGCGATAACATTTTAAATAAAAGCTAGAAATCTCAAGCCATGATATTTCAAATGTAAACAAATTCTCGAGACATGATATTTGGTGCAGTTGGGGCATTTTTAACTTTTATACCAAAATAAGTAAGGAATATAATGTGACAAAACAGATTTAAATTTTTTTGGAAAAATTAAGGATAACTTATAACAGTAAAATTTACATAACTCATATTACACAAGCTGTTACCTGAAAATAAATTCACAAAAAAATATGAATAAAAACTGACCAAAAACCCAGTTGGTATTCCTCATTTTGGCCCCTCGTAAAAGTAACTGGTCAGCTCCTAAAGGTAAAGCTCTATAAAAGGAAATTAAAAATAAATTGCAACATTCTATTAACACATAGTTCTAATACACTTTTCACACAAATTTGTGAACAAAAAATACCTCAATGTAATAGAAAGAAGAATTAAGAACATCATGCTTACTGTTTACCACTTATTCTAAGATTCCCAGTAAATTCATATAAATGCCTGTTGGGAGGTTCACATTCTATGGTGCCGCGCAGACGCTCCAAGTCCCTCGGTGTTAGCCAAGGTGCTGTTTGTGGAAGACCCTGCCAGAGGAAATCAAAATGATGCAAAAAAATTACAAAGATAGCAATATTTATTTCCTCTTTAAAAAAACTCTTATAAAGAGCTGAAATCATACAAGGAAGACAACCAGATGGTTCTGTGCCAGACACATAATATATGACAATAGAATCATCTTTTATTTATCAAAATAATACTATGAATATTCATAAAAACTATCAACTAACATGACACAAATCAAGAGTGTGGTGTAGTGGCCGAACCTGCTACCCAAAACCCCAGTTGTAATGGAAGGTTAAAATGAATTCCAAACTCAAGTTATAAACAACATGAATTTTAATGACAAATGTAACTTAAACATGCAAGGTTAATAATGATCTGGGACTTAAATACACTCAAACCAGTAGTTTCAGAAATTGTTACAACAGGAATGTGCTAGGTCAACAGCACACCCGAAAGGTCACAGCTCAAGAGGATAAAAATGCTCATAGCCCCAGTAGAAAAGACCAAGCAGCCGATGCTCTTCTGAAACCTCCTTCCTTTCTTGCTCTAAAAACATGATTGCACTTCAAGATGTCACTATTCCTTCACTGAATCGAGGGGATTCCTCCTCTAGTAGGCAACCACATTCCAATACCGGTGAAAGAGTTTTCTCCCAGGAATTGTTGGGGTGACCTGGGAAGGTGAAACCAAAATAATTAACAATTTAACCTTGTCCCAACTGATTTCTCCTCTGTATGAAAAAGGCAGGAGTGCATTCTGAGTCTGGTTCGCCACAGCAAAACCACACAAGTTCCATCTACGCAACCTTGTCACAAGTGCAATTAAAAGTACCATGTTTTCAACCATAAGTCAAGGTCTTAAGCCAAAAATATTCTCTAAAAAGTCTAATCAAGATGATCAATTATGTTGAGTTTAAAAAAAAAAAAAAAACTTATATTTACTAAGTTAATAATTATTTTGAATCCAACAACCATACATTTATTAATTTGCATGAAATAACAAGTAAATACATTAAAAGCTAAAAAAAAAAAAAAAAAAAAAAAAAAAAAAAAAAAAAAAGAACAAGCAAAAAAGAAAAAAAACAACATCCTCACAATAAACATTACGTATGATTTCTCATGAACATAACAAGTAAATAATGATTAAGGAAGCTAAATAAAATATCACATGTGTTTGAAACAGATGCTTTAAAATCTAAAACTAAAAAACAGGCCTGATATTTTTTTTCCTTCATAAAGGGTAAATGTTCTTTTCATTATCATCTGGAAAAAATGTACCTGAAAAAAACTGTCAAATAAAATTCCACCAATTAATGAAGTGGCTTAGGGGTGTAGATAATCCAAATACCAAATTCAGTACTTTATGATCATCTGCACTCCACTGTTCTTCACGTGGGAATGCAACTGTTGCAATCTACTGAAATGTACATACTTGAACCAGGTGTGCACACAGCAAGACGAATGTCCATTTCGGAAGTGCCACTAATCACATTATGTTTATATATCCATTAATTTTTTTTTTTTGGGGAGGGGGTAGAAATTGTAATGGGATTGTAGAAGTTGACAAAGAATAATTTAGGACATTCTAAAAATGGCCTTTCAAGAATAAGAGAATGCAAAATTTCATTCATCAAAACCATTAATGATCGAATTTTATAGATCAAATTTTGTATGCTGATGCCAAATCTGTTCTATTCTCTGATGTCTTTTTATATGAAAACAGATCACTGCTTATAAGGGAAAAGAACACAATGTACACAATGAAAGATTTTAACAATATATTTTAAAGTAAAAGAAATCCACACTACAAGTCAGTGCGTCAGATGAAAGTGTTGATGTTTTTGAAGTCTTTGATGTATGCACGGAATAAACAGAGCAAAAAAAAAAAGTTTCATTATTGATGTTACCTGAATTTTTATTTGGTTGATGCTTAACATAATTCCTGGTTACACAGCTATGTATTCGCATAGCATAGGAAGATGAGAATGGATAGCAACGTTTTGGGAGTGGGGGGTGGGGTGGATAACCATTAATTAAATTCTATAAAAAGTTTATAATAGGAAAAATTAGTAATGGCTAGTGCTGGTGATATTGCTTAAAATAAATATATGCTGACAAAACCTTTCTTTTTTAATTGGCTTATTCTTAAATAGCGAAATCATTCATCATCATCTGAAATTTAAATGTTCATTTATTTCATTTTTATTTTTTGCTGCTGCATTGTATATTTTTGTTCCACACACTAACTACACCAACATACAGTAACCTTAATTTTTTTTTTTTTTTTTTTTTTTTTTTACATTGAGATTAGACTCAATTCACTTAAAGCAGAAATACACACTGCACTGTGCATGATGTGCCTGTTATATTGATTTTTTGAAATCCTGCAACATCAAGTTCTGGCCAACAACATTACCTGTTCTTAAGATAAATTTTTATTCTAAGACAGTTTTCCATTCTTTAACACATTTTTCCTTTTTTCAAAATTTTCTAAATACTGGATCAATTATACCCCACACATACCTAAAATTATTAATTATTAATTGGAAATTTTTAGGTTTCGAAAAATACAAAATTATTCTAATTAGACTAAATTATTAAACCACCATGACCACAAGTCACCACTAACCAACAAGCTCGATATCATGATATGACATACTAGAGTAATTTCAATAGCTTATTAAAATGAAATTAAACCAAAAGATATCCAGAATTTTAAGGCCAATAGTCACTTGTAACTTATGAGTTAATAGCTACTAGCACTCAACATATAGGTCACAAGCGTGAATGGTGTAGTAAATAAATTACTCAGATAAATGAAAAGGTATGGTAACCATCAAGATCACTGGCTACAGATGATCTTGATGTTGACAATAACTAGAAATCAACCCACAAGTCCCCAGAGTGATGTGGTGCAATAAATCAAGACTAATCCAATAAACTAAATCCCATTAGAGACAGACAATAATAAAATCAATTAGTCATCTGTGATATAGATATGAGGTTGCTTTAACTATATATATACACAATGAAACCACTTTTCCATAGGTAACCGAAAATGATCAAGGTCTCCAAGTTGCCAGGTGGATATGTCCACTGAATACTGGTAGTATGACTTGGGTTTGAACACAAGAAAAAACGACTGGTGCCCAGGTGCTTTCAAGAATTTTCCATGTGCATGAATATTTTTCCTATAAATATGAAGCATTTTCTATTAAAAACTCACCTATAAAGGCATTCCTCCCCTTATACAGATAGCCTATGCCTGCTCTGCTGCATTTTAAACAAATTGAAAGTGATCAGTATTTTTAAGAAAAACAACATTATAAAATTCATTTCCTAGGACAAAACAATCTGAAATCATGGGCACTTATTTTATACAGATTTCATTGCATTTTTAACCAGCACCATTGAAGTTTTCATAAGTAGAAGAAAACAAGTTTCTTTTTGCATTATATATTGGAAAAATCACTTACAAAATAAAATCAGAGTACAAACCTGCCTGATCTTTAAATTTGTCTCTCCATCCAAATTTGCAGTTTCTATATAACACATAGCATGGGGTTCACTGAAAATTTCAAGAAAATATTATTTCTGCAAACATTTTTGAAATATTATACAGTCTAGCAGTTAAGTAATAAGACTGAATTTATAAAACAAAAGATAAGAATATTATTAGTTTTATATCGAAAATGTACATAAAAAAGTAAATCAAAAAAGAAGAAGAGAACAAAAAGTACACCCTCTTTGCACTGATACAACAAATGTTAAGATCTGACAAAACCTGAAATGATTATCTGCATGTTTTTTATGCGGGTACAGGCAAGCAAAGACTTAATGTAACAGTCCTTTGGATGCATTTCCTATAGTCAAACAGGTTAACCTGCGCACAAACACACACAAAAAGAGGGGGGGCACTCTATGTTTTAAATTCTGATATTATGACCAACAAAATTTCACTTGCCTTTTTCATGTCTCGAAAGCGCAACTTAAGATATATTTTAGATTTACATATAGTATTATTTTAACATAGATATATTGATACAAAATAGGACTGCCTTTGAAATGACATACCTATTTTTTTTTTCATATTTCGATTCTATGACTCAAATTATGACAAAATATTAAATTTGGTGAGAAACTTACCGAGAAATTCAAAAATTTATCTTGGCATGCTTTTTTCAGTTTGTGCCAAGCATAATTCACTCAGCAAAATTTATAAATTATGCTTACCTGTTTTCCTTTCCATTTCATTGTACACGAGCAAAATAAAATCACATATATTTTGAGAAATTTTGAACAAAAAGCTCTAATTTTTTTGCATTTATGCTTAGAAATACATCTACTATTAAGATGATGAATAACTCAAAAATATTTTCAAAAATTTATAAAAATTACTAAAAATACAAATTTTAAAAAGAATTTTATTTGAAATGTATCTAAATTTTGAACTGTGAAATAAGGAATCAGGTATGTTTAATAAAAAAATTGGATATTAATAAATATATACCAAATTCAATTAATATTGTGGAGCTAAAGTTTTGAGAGATATTTTTTTCAAACTACTTGTGTAATTTTTACAAAACTTGGCACTTTTTCATAATTTGAGTCATAAAATCAAAATATGAAAATAAATAGGTATGTAATTTCAGGTAAAGTCTAATTTTTATGTCAGAATAGTTATGTTAGAACAATAGTATATATAAAATTAATATATATCCTAAACCGTGCTTTCGAGACATGAAAAACACAAGTTAAATTTCATCAATCGGCTTAGTAGAATAGGAGATATAAAATTGTTCTTTTTTTCCCCCCCGGGGGGGAGGGTACAGATTGTACCATTTTAACAGTAACTTCAGTTCTGAGATTAGAAAATACTGCAGCAGAACAAATTCAAGGAGTAAGATGGATGGTCAATTATACACATGTTTTCTGATAAAAAATTCCTGGACAACTACTGCTTGCTGAAATGGTGCATTATCATTAAGAAAGAACGAACAATGTGCTAAATATTTGATCTAAAACATTCCAACTTAAAAATTGCATTGCCAATTTGTTCCTCAAAAACAAATTTTTGATTAATAATTTCTTTGCATTTGTAGAAATATGTCAACATTGTCTTAACACTTGGCTTCTGAAGATGAAAATTTTTTCCTGAAATTAAGAGTGTGACTTCTACTCAGAACTTTAGTTATCAGGTCATAGCTGAAATATCATGTTTCATGTTCAAAAGCAATAAAGTAAGAAATTTTACTTATTCTGAAAAGTTTTAAATAGTCTTTTGTGTCCTAAACACGTTTTTGATCATCAAAGAATTTCGCAAAAGCTGAGAAGTGTTTTTTTTTTTTTTTTTTTTTTTTTTTTTTTTTTTTTTTTTTTTTTTTTCTCCCACTAAAGAATGACAAATCATCTGAGCAGTACTACGATTATTCTCAAACAATATTCTTCAACCACTTTCCGCAATGATGTTGCTGAGAGGCAACTTGCTGTACTGCCAAAATAGGCAACCCATGACGTTCTCAAAATGTAATGATGTAGCAACTTAGGTATGCACACATGCGCAGCAGATGCGAATGAAAATCATTCACGAGGCAACTTGCTGTGTTGCCAAAATAAGCAACTCATGACATTTGTAAAATGTAATGATGTAGCAAACCAGATATGCACACATGCACAGCAGATGGGTGCCAATCACCTTCAAATTCAATGGCCATTAATGTTTGCTTATTGTTGCACTGAGTGCATTTTGTTTTTTTGTAACAAACTGTAAAGGGACTGTGGAGTTTGCTGGCTGAAAAAGACAAAGACAGTATTTCTGCTTTTCAGAAATATAGCATTTTGCCCAATAGTAAAGAATGAAAAAATTCACATTCCATGAAGTTGTACTTTGTAAATGATTGAATTTTCTGGATCAAAATTTGTGTGTCGATGGCAATTTTGTGCAATTATCTGATTTGGTTTAAAAGGGAAAACAGATTATTATGTATACAGGGAGAGCAACAGCTGTACAATGCAAAATATGTGCAGTTCTCAGATATTTTTCTTTTTTTTTCTTTCTCTCTCTCTCTCTCTTAAAAAAATACATAAGTATTTCTTCATGTATAAGGTATTTTCTTCCTCCTTTCTTCATGCCTTCGTGATGTAATGGTAGCACATTTGGCAAGTATTCGAGAGGTTAGGGTTTGAGTCCCGACGAGGGCATTGCACATTTTCCCCATCACTCGTTTAAAAATATACTAATGACTTTATAGTTGCACCCAAACTTTGTGAATTTCAGATTTTTCACTATTTTGTAATTTCTATTATTATGCGAATTTTGTCATATAAGATGAGAATAAAAGAATATCAAATGCAAATAGACTGAAGAATGCATACAGCTCTAAATTATCATTACCTTTCTATAGTTATTGTAAGGAAGGAAAAGGAAAGGAAAAAAGGTTTTGAAGGGAAAAAAATGTAATAATTAAATATATGTAATTATTAACAATAATTGCATTTGGAAATTCATTTATAATTATAAACAAATATTCAAAACTTTATAGTGAAAAAATTTGCAAACTTTTTGCATATTTTTTCATTGTTAAACAAATATAAAAAATTAATAAAATTAATTGCACCAAAACAAGTAAATAGATAATACAAAATTTTGAACACAAGCAATAAATTATTTTTAGTGTCTATAATTTATGATAAGTAATAAAGTAATCCACATAATTCCCATGATAACTATTACACCATTACCAATTCAAATGATAATTATAACGCACGATAACTAAAACATTATCGAATTACCTTGATGATAACAGCACAAGGTCTGCAGGGAAAAACTGGCCACTAGTAATTTTTAATATATCACCTACAGCTACATCTGTCCATTTAATCCACTGCCAAATGCCATTTTTCAGGCCTACAAAACAATATTTTTTTAAATGAAAAACTAAATAAAATCATGAATAAAATATATACAGTCAAAAGTCATTAATTCGGACACCCATAATCCGGAATGATCTATAATCCGGACCTCAAAGCTACAAACTTTCTGCGCATGCGTCGCATTGACGCGCAAACCTTTACAGCTGCGAATTGCATGTGCACAAAATTACGTTTACGAATGCGCATTTATTGTATAACGGACGGATAACTAAGCTAAAATTATCTATTTCAGAATGTTGCGATTGCGGTGTTCCTTAATCTTCAAATTGGAATTCGGCTTATTATTTTTTGCAGACTGTTAGAGCAATTTTACAAAAGTAAGCTTGAACTTTCGATTATTTAAAATAGAATTTCCGATATATTTTTACTAAATGTAAGGATCAAACAAAAGTATCTTTCGAAGTCAATTAAACAAAAAGTGGAATTGCTGCAAAAAAATGGATAAAGGCATATCCTTTTTTATCTAAACTTTAACATTTTATCTAAACTTTGTTTATCTTTAACGTGCGGAGCGCAATGAATTGGAAGTTGATCTGTCAACACATCCTATCTTAAGGCAGATGTTTTTTTTATTTGGCTTATAATTGCTTACTAAATGTGGTATTTCCCTTGATGTACTCCATCTTTGATATGATTTAAATCAAATGCCTCGTCATTATAATTCGCTTCCGATAGCGAAGAAAGTGACAGAGGTTATTGAAACGAAAAAATTTCGATTGACAAATTAGTCGGTATTCTCGACACAGCAATTATAGGACTTGAACACAGTGGAACTTCGTAACTGAACAAGAAATTATGTCTGTTTATGGAATTAAGAGAATGTTATCACATAAAAAACGAAGCAACTTAAACAACTTACATTGAAAGAAATTTTAATAAAGTAAACAAATAAATATTAAGCTTTTTTTTTTTTTTTTTGTAAATTTTGATACCTTTAGATCATAATTGTTCTTTATTTCATAAATTACGGTTTCATATTTTTAATTTTATAATTTCTGCATGCCATTTTACCAGATTTAAACTGATGATCCATAATCCAGAAAAATTGATAATCCGAAATCGCCGAAGTCCTGACGAGTCCGAATTAACGACTTTTGACTGTATAATGTTCTACAGAGTATGGCATTATTAAATCTGTATAGCATCCTCCTGAAAATTAAATAAAAAAAATGAAATAATACTCAGATCTGTGCAGAAAATTAAGAATAGACAATTTTAGACCTCAAAGGTTGACTAGGACTTAATTTTCAAAGATTTCATATGTAGGAATACTACTTATGATGTTTACAGTTTGAGTCTCTTGCAATTGTAATGCCTACATTAATGCAAAGAATAAAATAATCTATTTTCCCATTAAAAAATAATAAATAAATAAATAAATCAAAATTTAAAATGATATACATTAGAAGACCAAAAATCTGCCCACCAATACTTGAAATCTGCACACCTTTCGACGGCAAAACAACCCTTTGGCAATTTTTAGTCACGCTTGGAAATTACTGGTAACATGCTTCCTCAATTAGCATTGAAACAAAATACTATAATCAACTGATTATTGCTTTTATAACTGTCACTAAATAAATGTTTTGTCCAAAGTCATTTAAACTAGAATGTGTATAACTAAAGATTAATTTCATGGTACTGATCATGTAACTGGAATTTCAATAATCTTTCATTCATGCAGCAGTATGCAATATATGCATAATTACAACAAACAGTAGCAACCTTTGCAGAGAAAACAACAAAAACATTTTGAAACAACATGTTTTGATCCAGAAATTTTTCTTGTGCAGGATTGTGAGAAGAGATCTTAAGTAAAATTTATGATTTCGCTATTAATAAATGATGAGAAGCCTGCCATTACATTCTTTCAGGAAGTGATTAGATTTAGTCAGGTTATTTAAATATGGCAAAGGCTACTTGCCTAAGGGGAGGAATGCCTTCACAAAGGGCTTTCTAAAGGCTTGTAATCACATTACACATGAGAAAAACCACGAAACTAAACATGCAGTCGCTATTCCACTCCCAATATTTAGTGGTCTAAACTGCTCAGCTACCAGTGGGATTTTCAGAAAAAAACAACTTATTGAAAAATATTTCAAATACACATGACTATATTTGTTGCATCTGTGCATGCTTCTTGAGCTCTTGGAGTTTTGTTACATGAGAATGCGAGTTAAGATTCTCTGAGAGAATTCGTGGCTTCGAGTGGTCATTAATACAGTCCACTGTTCCCAGGTTTACTATAGTGTAGTGCATGTGTATAACAATATTTTAAAGCAGCAGTTTATCTTGAAGGGAGAGCCCAAATAAGGGTGAAGCAACTGAGGCAGTTTCCTCAGCTGAACAGCTAAGAGGGCTGCCAAATTAGCAGGGCTGTGGAGTCGGTAGGGAAAATGACCAACTCCGACTCCTGGAATTTTAATGACTCTGACTCCGACTCCCTCATATATATATATATATACGAGGGTTGGAACTTTAATAGTGGCAACACAGCTGAAAAAACGCTATGCAACAAAACCAAAGAATATACCACACGTGAACTACATACCCACCTTACCTCTCAGCAAAAAGACTCGTCCTGCCTACGTCACGCGCATGCGGAGTGACGCGAAGAACGGATCCTTGTATTTGCTCGCGGTCTAAAGTAGTGTGTCAGGATGTTTTCAAAACACGAACAACGATGTTGGATAAAATTTGCCAGAGGTCGTACACACGACAGTGTCTTCAAGAGGCTTGCGGGGAATCTGCATTGCCTTACAGAACCATAGCAAGATGGGTGAAAGCATTCAATGAAGGACGCCAAAACGTGGCAGACATGCTGCGGCCAGGTCGTCGAAATGGCTACGATACGATGCTGCCCGAACCCACCTGGAGCGCTATGAGCGCGAAGGAGATGCTTTTTTACACCATATCATTACACTGGATGAAACTTGGGCCTGATCGTAATAGCCAGAACTGAAATGCCAATCAAACGAATGGCGTCATCACAGGTCACCACGACGTTCGAAATTTCGTCAGAACCCCAGCAATGTGAAAGTTATGGTGATTCTCGTGTACGATTGTGTCATCCTAACGCATACCGCTCCCCCACAGCAGACCGTCACTGTGCAGTATTACTGCTTATTTTTGAAGCACTATCTCCGACCAGCTTTGAGAAAAAACGGCGACACTTTCTGCAGAACGCTCCTCACATTTTGCATGACAATGCTCAGCCGCATGCAGCGCAAACTGTGACTGATTTGTTCAAGCGATGGGGATGGGAAGTGCTTTACCATCCACCATACTCCCCAGATCTAAGCCCTTGTGACTATAACTTAATTCCCAAGATGAAGGAACCACTTCGTGGCACTCACTTCCAAACTGTTCCTGATATTCTTGCGGCAGTAGACCAGTACAATTCAAACTATCAACAAAACAGGCGCTGCTACAGGTATCCTGCGACTTCCACATCGTTGGAAACGGGTTGTACACAATGCTGGCAACTATATTGAAGGACTGCAAAACATGGTGACATGAATCACTTCTGTATTCCTTGTAAATAAATAGTTGCCACTATTAAAGTTCCAACCCTCGTATGTAAACATATACACATAGGTTACAGCTTTTTTTTTTAATATAAAAGAAGTAATAGATGCTACAGGAAAAAAATTGATGGCATAGCAAATTATTTATATTAATTAGCATTTATTATGAAATAGGAAAACTGGCATTAGTTATTTCTAAGAAAAAGTATAGCTTCGGCAAGACCTTTGTTGAAGGGCCATAGATCCGATTTGATGAATTTCAGAGCTGAGAAGAGTCTTGCCGCCACGCTAACTTGAGTAGGAGGAAGAGCTGTTACTGTTAGGGCTACTTCTTTTACTTTTCAGGATAAATTTTTGCAAGTTCTAAAAGAGGTGTCTTGTAAGCACAATCATATTTCTCTATTTCTTCAAAGGCTCTGTAGAAATCTTTTTTGTATTTTATCATTTTTATACTTAAAGTCTCTTGGTTCTTTATTTTCATTCGCTTTGCCTTAGCCTTTTCAATATTATCCAAAAATATTTCTCAAAATCTGATTCATCACTGGAAGAGGATGATAGAAACTCAATTGCAATGTCTGAAGTTTGACTGTTCTGATTTGAATTCTCCAATTGTTCTGAGAATAATTTCATTCTTAATGAAAGTTCATAGATGCCTTTTTAATTTGTTAGTCATCCAAGATAATTCGGTGTTTCTGATCTACATATATTAAACCCAGCAAGATCTCATTGTCTAGCAAACTAGTTTCTCTTTTCATCATTGAAGAAATGATTCTTTCTGTAATAAACCCTCCATTACAGAAAGAACAAACACCCCATTCTTTCATTCTTGCCACCTGTCAGTTCTTCAGATTGCAGCTTTTTTTGTGGCTATATATGGTGTAGAAAGAAGAGTTTCCAATTCTTCAAGATCATTCTACAGTCTTCCTGTTAGTGAAACATCAGGGTTATCTACATCTTCTAAAAAAGTTCTTAATTCTAAAAACCTCTTTATCATCTGTATCTTATTTTGTCAATAATTGCTCCTTTTCCTGCTCGCTTCCTAAGAATGGCATCAATTTTGAGAGTTCTACTGCTTTTCTGCTTACCTAAATTTACCAGTGAGATTTGTAACTAAAAGAATCAGTTTAATCACTAATGGCAAATATCACATCCATCCTCCTCCCTTATATTTATTTATTAATATGTCAATAAAATAGAATATAACTATTTATTAATGATAGTCCATAAATAAAAATAATAACTCAGCTTGTTATTAATATTTTCAATTCATTTTAATTTCATTTCAAATTCAAACTGTCCAACAAAAACTGAACTCGGAGTCGACCTGTTTTTAGTGACTCCAGCTCCGACTTCTTTTACCCCAAAATCTGCCCGACTCCGACTCCACAGTCCTGAAAATTAGCTGAGAAATTTTAGGAATGCATCAAAAAATAAATTATGATTATTA